TGACTATGATACCTTACTAATAACATCCAGGGTGACACAGTTGACAAGATGGAGCATATTAGCTTCTGTTTTATTGTCAGCAAGCTCTGCAAGTTTATCCATCAGTTTCTCTGCCCTCTCATTGAAGGTTCCCATTAGACCTCTCAGATACCTGGAAGTATGATAGCTTTAGACGGAGAAGCAGCACATCCAGGACATCCCAACAAACCATCACAGAAATTCATTAAAGGATAATGTTGCACAGAAAAAAAAAAGGGAGATGCTTCCAACCCTGGACAAGTGGTTAATCATACAGACTGTTGTGTCTTTATGTGGCAACTATGAAACTCACAGGCTGCTGAACGCAGGGTCCATGATGCGTCGCTGTTTGTACCACTGCTCATGATCCCGTGCTGTTACCAGGCCATTTCCAAAGAACCTGAAAAGATATTGAGAAAATTAATAAAAAATAGCAAAATATGATTGCAACACAAATGATTTTAACTCTGTAAAAGTCAGGAGCTCAACAGATTACATTGTCACACAGCAGGTTTTATTATTATCATAGTTAAATTGCTGCTAGCATGGCTACACAGCATGTTAAGTTACTGCTGAGTTGCATTTAGTTTGAACAGTAATGTATGGATACATAAATACAAACTACTTGTGGTCAGATGTTTACATATATTAATCATTGGCATGAATGTCAATTCATGTTTTAATGATTTCTTTGAACGTTTCTTTCTCTGGGGTGGAAAGACTGTGCAGTATATAACTGGCTTCACAAGTGTAAATTAATTTCACAGTGGGTCAAAATTATACAAACATCTTCAAATATCTACATACACTACTGTCATGATCCGGAGTTTGTGACTCCGTGTTTATGTTTTAGTAGTTATTATTATTCTGGGTTTTATTTCCATGTTCCTATGTGTTCCCCAGTCTGTGTGAAGTTTGTGTGTTGTGTCATTGCGTGTATGTGTTTCCTGTTTTATTTTGAAGGTCTGCGTCTTATGTGAGTGTTTTCAGTTTGCCTCCCTAGTCTCATCACGTTAATCACTCCCAGCTGTGTCCCCCACCTGTGTG